CTGGTCAGGTGAAGTGAGAAGGATTAACTCGTGCCCAAGTTGTCTCCTCAGACATGCAGGAAGGAATTTCATGCTGGCTATTAGTGACTTAAATGTAATGTTTGCCAATATTTAACCCATCTGTGGAGATAGCAGCTGGGGAGCCTGGGTTTTCCTTTTCTAGAAATAATGCCAAACAAGCGTTTGAAAGTGTTGAAATTACATCTTGACACTTAACCTCTCCACCACTGTCTGCTTTATATTTAATTTATAATACAACTATATATTTTCAGGCCCAAACCCTAAATGAAACCATTTGCAATTATTTTGAAGTGCAGTTTTTCAATAGACCTGATCTAATTTGAGGTTTATAAATTCACCAGGCTTCTTGAGATTAAAGTGTTCTGTCTTCGCTTAAGTATGGAAACATTTTAAAGCCTCAAAAAATATCCCACAAAGGGGAAAATGTCTGCTGCTCTGCTCTCCTCACTGTCTGAGGAAATGAAGGACGGAGTCACAAGATTTAAAGCAAGTCACTTACCACACTTTACTAAGTTACAGTCCAACTATAGTATTTGACCATGTGTCTGTTTTTAGCACAACAGTCACATTTCATTCGTGCAGCTTAAAACCATCTCCCCTGCTCAGTCAGTTCGAAAAATGTGTTTCTTCTGCAGTGCTTACAGAAAGTGAGTTTGTGTCCCTGTGCATGAGTTGCCAATGTAATTTATTCCAGCAACTTCCCTCCCCTCTCCCATGCTCATGTCCCTGTGCGTGAGCTCTCCTCAGTCTGCTGTTCAGAGTGCAGGAGACATTATTTATGTTCATTAGAGCTTGGGATGAATTGCCAATGCAGAAGAAGCAATGGCTAATCTGTGTGGCTTTTCTTCTGCACTCATTGCTGGGTCATTGTGGGAGAGTCCTTGTGCTGGCCTGATATTGTGAGTTACTGCTGCACCCCAGGTTTGGTTAGGAGGGGTTATAATCTGCAGTGTTAGGGCAGTGGGATGAGCTGCAGCCCATGGGCTGTCACTGCACCTCTGATCCCCAAAGCTTCTGCCACCCTGCCATCTGAGATGTGAGCTTTTCAGTGTGTGAAACACTCCTCAGTCCAGCCTTCTGTGGCTCTTGATACTCAGAAGTCTTTCCCAGCAGTCAGAGTTTTTACTTTGTGTCCCATATTTAAATCTAAATCTGTAGAGCAACTCCCTTTGGCTTTCTGTGGTTTCTGAAGGGACAAATATTGCTCTAGGGAGGTCAACTCCAATCACTACTTGCTTGATCCTTGCTTCCAAGCAGCTTGTTCCCACTTTGCACTGATTGTACTATACATGTTTAAGTCTCTTAATTTTAACTTGCAAGATGATTCTGGTGTCCTGGTCATTATAGTTGTTTGTATTTTACTGTATCTTTGCTTGGGGTAATTTTTCTTTTTGGTATTTAGGGTACATTATTCTCCCTTTGTGAGATTCTGTTTCTTTGCCGTGGATGTACTGCCCTCAAGAGAATGGACCCAGAGTCAGCCTTAAACATTGTGCCAACCTTCCATTTAGAAATGGATGGCTCCTTCCCTATGCTTTTCAAAGCCAAAAAAAAATTAGTTGGATTTGGAGACACAAGGGCACTCCCTGCCTCTTGGCCAAAAATATGGGAAAAGAATGGTAAACTTTACCCTCAGCCCACACTAGATTTGTGGTCTATATTCTTATGACATGAATGTGACCACAACCCATAGGTCTGATGTTTCCTAGCTGTTTGTCATATTTCTTCTTTGTGCCTTGCCTTAGATCTCAGTGTAGCTCATCAGATGCATTCAGCTCTACCTGTTGATAACAGAGCAGGCTTGCAACAACAGCTGGAGAGAAAAGAAAAAAAATAGACCTCTTAGGCATTTTTTTTCTCCTGTTTGGCTTTTGGAGGTCTGAAAGCTCCAGGAGGTGCTAGGAGAGTTAGACTAACTGTGAAAGAGGGCAAAATCAAGATGCCAAACTTACAATCCTACAAGGATGCTGTTCCCATAATGTGCAGAAATACCTTTGTGCAGGTTGTTAGCTGCTGGGGCAGCACTTAGGCATGTGGGATAACCTGATTAAAGAATCAAAGAAAACCCTGGTAGCTTCACAGGCCAAATCATGCCTTACAGCAACCTGATGTCAAATGGGCGTGAATCAAGGAAGCTTTCCCTTGGGCATCATCTGGGAGCACCTTGAAGGGGAGGGTATGAGCCATGAGCCAGCCAGGGTTCTAGCAAGGAGAGAGACTTAAGCAAATACACTCCCAGACAGGGAGTGAACTGGAGTCTGAAAATAATGACTTTGTTTTTCCTTACTGGTACAGACTTGGAAGGATGAAAAGAATAAATTTCTCAGGTCTGATTTTCAGGTTGTATAGAAGGCTTAATCAGGAGTTGGTTAATTTATAATGCTTGTCTTACTTAGCTGTGAGAATGTCAAACTGTGACTGAGCTGAGATTTGGGAGCAGAAGATGAGTGTTTTCAGAGGGTATGATCCAGCAGAGTGATTCCCTGCTGTCCTGGTCAGTGCAAAGTTTCCACCAAAATCAGCCTTAACATGGGATGTCAGACAGAATGGTTGTACTGATCCTTTGTGGGCTTTAACGCTGTGTGCCCGAAATGCGTCAGCAGGAGCTACATGAGACCTGTGGTGACAGCAGTGCCAGGCCACGCTGTTTGGTGGGGGACCCCTCTGCAGCGTGGATTGCTGGTGCCTGCTCTGGTCACAGTCCTGGGTGGGCTGCAGTAGCAGACCAGGGGAAATGCTGAACAGATCAGTCCCCAGTGGAAGTAAGCCACAGAATTCCTGGTCATGTTGTGGGGGATCAATATTTATCAGAATTCAAAACTCAGTCAGGAAGGTTTATGGGAGAAGCATCCACTTGAGGCGAGGTATGGGGAAGCCAAGCTCTGACTCAGGAAGTGCCTAAACCAGTAATCGGTGGAGACTGGAAGCAAATCCCAAGGAATTTCTGTTTTGCTTACCCTATTCTCATACTTTGGCCTCTGTTGTTGGCAGCTGTTGGAAATGAGGCAAGCAGTGACTTGGTGAGGCAAATGCTCCATACTTGTCTGTGTTCAGAAAGTTTCATGGCAAATGCTTCACGAATGGCACAATCTTCCATCAGTGTCCGCAGGTATCCTGCCTTCCCTTCCTGGCAGAAAAATGCAGAGAACCGCATGGATGCAGACTGAGATGATGTGATCTGCTTATGCAGAGCAAAATGGTAAATCTGCCAGGTTATTTCTCCATGGAGAAAATTATTGACCTTGCTTTTTCTGGCACACCAGCCACCGTTATAATGATGATGATGGTGACAGCAACCAGACAGAAAGGCCAACAGTCATTCTTTCCTGCCCATTATTACAAGGTATAAAGTAAAATCCAGCCTGTACTCAGTGCTAGTCTGGCTGTGCTCTCCTTACAAATACATGAGGCAGTTCTTAAACGGGTTGAAATTCGGGACTTTTCATATTGACCTTTCCAAAAACAATTCTTCTGATCCTCTGATAGGAACTCGTGTATTTCTATGTTTGTACCTTACCAGTGACATGCAGCCCAGAGATAATGTCTGGGAGCAAATATGAGAGTGTAGAACCTCCTGAGTTCCTGGGTGATTCATCTCCTTACAATACATTTTGGTTGCACATGTAAGGAGTGGATCTTGCCCCTGAGAAACTGGCTCAAAGAAGTAATAACAATGCAGTCAGTCAAAGCACCACTTTCTTTCGGAATTTTGTTGCATGAGGAAGCAGAACTTTAGCCTTCCTGTGTTTGTCAACAAGATCTGCCTTTCAGCAGCTTTCTATATTTCTGTCCTGTTAGGTTTTTTCCTTTATTTTCCCACCCCCTTATTTCTGTCTATCTAAATAATAATCAATAGTGTAATGATAGATTTTTCTACCTCACCCAAGATGCAAACATTGCTTGATAACATTATTTGATAACTTCAGGTCCATCAAGCAAGAATAGTAGGTGAAGTTTGCTTTTCAGAAGTCCAGTGAATTTACCTAAATCAGATTTATTGTTTGCATCTTTGTGGTTTGCACCATCCATTCATGGCATGTGTCTTTTAAAGTGCTTACTTTGAAATGGTGAGTTATCCAGTTGGTGTCAGAAGGACTGGTGTGGCTCACAGACAACCATCTGAAATGAAATTATCTTGGTGTTTCTATAATTAACTGCAAGGGTAAGTGAGGGTTGAAATGAGATGAATCATTCAATGGACTCCACTTGAAAAGTGGGAATTTTTTTGGCTCCAGCACTTTAGGTGCAGGCTAGTATGTAAAACCTGTGCAGCAAGGATCATGGCCTCAGAGCTGGCATTTCACAGTCATTATCTCAAACATCGTGGGCCAGAGATAAATAAAGCATTTAAGTCATCCTAAGCTCCTGTCCTTGCAGATGCTTTCCTTGCAGCCGCTGCTTTGTTCTCTGCCCAGACTTAGCAGGATTCTCTGTGATGAGAGAGGAAGATCAAGATCTTCATACAAGGCAGATAAAGATATTTTTATGGGATCTGAATTGGCAAAGTAATTAGGGGGTGTCTGTGTAGCCCCAGGAGTTTGCATTTGAGTTTAGCGCTGCCCTCTGTGGTTTGTCTCTAATGAACTCTGCTGCAAAAGCTCGCTCTGACTGGGCAGTGCAGAGGCAAAAGCCCAGGAGTGTTGGCTGCACAACTCCTTCATGTGCTCCTGGCTACAGAAGCTGCTGTGTCTCAGATAACCCACCTGATGAGCCATCTCTGATCACTTGTCAGAGCTGCTGAGAGAAGGCTCTGGTTTGTGTTCTCACACTGTTCTAAAGGCTTGACCCAGGCCCTGTGCTCCCTGTGCTGTTATCATACTCCTTGATAACTGTTGACTGTACTGCACTTTATCTAGAAGAAATGAAAAGAAGGTACCTAAAGCTTCCAAGCAGACCAGCAGCAGCCTCCAATCCAGCTGACCTTTGTAAGTGTCCTGCTGAGATGGTGCTCATATCTGTTGTGTATGATTTCTTTGCAGAATACACTGGAGAAGTGCAGTGTCTGTGAAGAGCCCATCATGGAAAAGATCCTCCGAGCCACTGGGAAGGCCTACCATCCCCACTGCTTCACCTGCGTGATGTGCCATCGCAGCCTGGATGGGATCCCCTTCACTGTGGATGCTGGTGGCAACATCCACTGCATTGAGGATTTCCATAAGTAAGCCTAAGCTGCTGTCAGTGCTCTTCTTGTTGTTTTTGTCTTTCGCCCCTAAACTGAGCTTTCAGGAAGCTCTGAACCCTATGCCACTTCCTCCCAAGGCTCTTAAATAGTAGGGAGAGCTTTGCTCCAAGCAGGCATGCAATGGCATACAAGGTTAATTGGTTAGGGGATGATTCTGCTTGATCTCTCTTTTGCGTAGAGCTGAATTGAGGGATAACCTCTGTGTCCCTCTGTTTCAAGTGCTCTGCCTTCCCCTTTCTCTTCATTGCCTCTACCTGCACTTTCACATCGCCACCTCCCTGCCTCTTCCACTGAGCAATTAAGAGAGGTCCTGTCCTCCTGCGCTCTGCAGGTGTTTGCTTACCTGCTAGAGGGATCTCAGTGGCCACAGGCTGTTCACGGCTCCTTTTGTTTCTAGTGGCTAATTAGCTTTTTTAAGCTACTAAAAATACAGCCCTGGTAATAATTTATAATGAAACTGCTATTTAAAGTAAGTTGAAAGGTATAGCTGCAAGTAATTTCTGTCACTGACACACTACCACCCCCATCATCACAACTAATCTAGGGAAGACAGGTAGATATAATCAGAGCACAAATGTTTGCCCTGTATGGAAAAGACAGATACATTACACCCCTCAATTAAAAGATGAAATCAATACTGACAAATGTGAGTTTATATCTCAACCATTTACCTCTTAATTTCTAAGCAGGTAGACTTAATTAGAGCCTCATGACATCAGTGTGTGGGTCTGAAAGCTCAAAGAAGCTGACTGATTTGACAGAAAGGGAAGCAGCCACAATTAACTGGCATGTTAGAATCCAACAGCAGGATGTTCCCTGTAGCTCAGCTAGGCTGGGTTAATTGGCAGCTGCTGTGCTGCTCTGCCTTTCTGTGCCACCAGTTGTGTGTAAGGTAAAATGTGGTCCTGGGCACAGGCCCAACAGGGGTTTTATGCACCATTCAGTCACCTGAAGGCTTTCCCTCACACCCCCTCAACAATTTGGAGAGTGCCCCTTCCAGAGCTGCTTTCAGGAGAGCTGATGTCCCATACTGAAGCCTTTTGGCAGTGACTGCCTATGGACCTGGGGGCTCTGAGAGTGGCAAGTGGGAGGCTGTCAGTGCAAGGAAGGACATAAAAATTGTTGAGTGAAGGATTGAGGGGAAGGTGATGGGAATAGCACAGGACCCAGTGTGACACTCAGAATGTCTTTGGCCAGCCACACATTTTGCAGTACTTTGGCCAGCCCAGTTTTAATTGATTAGGGATGACATGTCCTCCTGATCTGGAGGTTGAGTGTTCTACATCCACATCCTCTAGATAACAAAACTGTAGCTGATGCTCACACTGTTACTCAGCTACCCCCTGAGCTCAGGCCCCATGGTAACAGATCTACATCCCCTGAAATCTGAAGGAATGATATCAGGATCCTGAGAGATAATATTTGTCTCATAATGAATTACTCACATTAGCCTGAATAATGAAATGTTGAAGTATTTTTTAAGTACCAAGTTTGAGCTAAGTGGCACAAGGAAGGGCCTGCATGAAGCAGCACGTAATTAATTGCCATCACAGCTCTGGTCATATCATGATCCATTTAAGTAATTTTTCAGAGCACTCGTTGTAGCCACTGTTTAATTCATTCTTTCATTAGATCACAGCTACACAGGCATATTTCATCTGGTGCCAGTGAAATTAATATTTTTCTTTATTCCTAGTACAGATAGATTTTTTTTTTTCTTTTCCAAGATAATTAATTCTGAGGTGGTTCCTGTGACAGGCTGGATGGCAGAGTCAATCCTTACTAGGCATTTTAGAAGAGAAGGGCCTTTGATCTCCTTGTGTTCTGATGTTTGCCATAAGCTTTGCCCTCTGTCACTCCACAGCTCCTGACCCTGGCTCTCATTACATGGCAGCAGATTGTGTGGGTGTAAGTTCCTTCTTGCGGGCAGAATTTACAGCCAGGAAACTGGTACCAGTAGGTTTTGAACTAAAATAGAGAATGATTCACCACAGGCCAAATGTTCCCAAGCCTAGGAGCAGAGGTGGCCACTTCTCATGGGACCTGAGGGGAGCAAAACCAGAGGGAATACAGAACTTGGGTGAATTATCCAGAAGGGCATATGGTAAGCAATAGAAGGGAAAAAGAAAGGGCTGTGCTTCTCTTGGTCCCTGAGGTGACCCTGATTCAAGTCAGTCTCTTCATCCAGTGAGATACTGTCACTATAAAATTGGAAGTCAGGCCAACTGGAAAAGAGAACACTGGGGTCTCTGCACCCAGACCTTTTGCCTTGTAAGTCTAGTCAACACCCTGTTGATAACTGAGCTGGGTTTACATAGAAGATGCAGCAATTCAAAATGCAGTCAGGGCATCAGAATTGCCCTGATGCTTTTTGTCTGAGAGTGAGCACAGCCAGAAATGTGCTTCTATGTGCATAAGTGGGTAAGGTGGCTTGAAAGTTTAAACTAGATGACATAAACCTCAACAAAATAGTGTTGGTGCAAGGAAATTCTTTTTACAATTTCTTTTCAGACTTTTAAACTATTTGTTCCAATCTACAAATTTTAATAGTTTGATTTTTGTTTTCAAGAGATGGTCTTGAAGCAGATCCTGGTCATCTTCCTAACCTTGGGATTTGCATAGATTTTCTTAGAAGCTGAGGGTTATGGCAGTGCTTAGGTGCCACCATCGAGGGTCATTCAAAAGGCACTTTAGTTGTTAATTAGGGCAGGCAAAGTGCTTTGCTGCCTGTCAGAAGTTCTGTAAGTCCTTTCCTAATAAATGTTCTTTAATATCCTACATGCCTGAAATTGCCTTGTAAGACTAAAGTGCTACTGCCTGTTTTTTCCCAAGGAAGCAGCTGTGCAGAGCTCCAGCCTGTGCTGTGTGTGCACATACATGTGTGTGTGTTGGCACAAATTCACACATTTCTGGCTGGCTGGTCCAGTTAACAAAAACTTTTGCTCCAAGTTTGAGGATGACTGTGCCTGTCTCTTGCTCCCTCAGGAAATTTGCCCCCAGGTGTTCTGTGTGTAAGGAGCCCATCATGCCAGCCCCGGGACAAGAGGAGACCGTGCGCATTGTTGCCCTGGATCGTGACTTCCATGTCCAGTGCTACCGGTGCGAGGTTGGTATTCCAGGCACGGCAGGGACGGAAAGCAAGGGCTGGCTTAACTTTATCACCACCTCATGTTGCCCACGTGGCAGGCAAACCCTATTGTAACACTGGCTCTACAGTCAAATTACTTCATTGACTTCAGCAAGGAAGGAATTTTTCCTCATTTATATCCATGCAAATGAGAGGGAAATCTGGTCCCTTGTTTATAACAGGTTCATTAGAAGAGCAAAAGAATGTGACTCAGGCAATTAAGGCTTAATACTGGAGAACTTCATCAATTATTGCCTGGACACAAACATAGCTCATCTTTATGTTCTTAAAATGAAAGCTAATGTATGTTAGGATTTGAGCAAGATTGTACAGGAAACTCGACATATGTGTTGAAGAATTTTAATGGACACATAAACATGATCATTCTTGTTTTGTGCAATGCTTTTTGTGCTACTTTTCCTGTTCAGTTTCATTACACACTTCATGTAATTTTGATGGTAAGAGTCTGAAGACAGAGAATAAAAATCACCTTAAAGCAATTAGCATGTGGGAACAGCTGTGTGAGGGAACCTTCAAGAATTCTTCAGTGCTAGTGTTACTTGTTGGATAATACATCAGCCAGATGGCAGGGTAAGAAAATGAGACCAAATATATTTCATATTGCAGTTGCAGGTTTTAATAACCTTAATTGGAAAGAAGGATGGACTAAGGTTTAAAGGTCTAGGCTGAAACTTGAGGCATCTGGTTCAATTCTCAATCTGACCTTGGCTTTCAGGGTATATATCAGCCCATTACTTAGGCACATTATTTTTTAAGATGATGGAGCATTCTTACACTAAATTTTATAGATCCTAATTCATCATGCAGCTTGTCCCATGCTGGCTGCTGAGATACCCAGGCTTTCACACACATGGATCCATCAGCAGTCCTGTGCCAACCAATTGCTTGATCACGAAGTGTGGGATAATTCCCAACTTTCCTGTCAGCTATACTCAGCCTTAAAGCTTATAGATTGAGGTCTCTGGAGCAGGTTTGGGGGCCTTGTAGTGGGGTTTCTATGTTCCTGTCTGACATCCTTCTTTTTGCCACAACCTTTTTGGCCAATTGTCATACAAACACAGGTGACAGTTCTGGTAAGGGATTTTGCTTAGCTGCCACCCCCAGAATGGGGGCTGTAACTTCATGGCATTAACTGTTCCAAAGGAGATTGCCTATAGTCAGATATTGGTACTAAACTTTTTCCCAGTGATGCTTCTTTTTTGTGCTTCAGTTTGATGTTTCTCCAATGCTAAAGTCCTTTGCCTCCTCAGAAATGTGAAGGGAATAATCTCCTTTTATTTTCAATTGGATTAAATTCAGCAGAGAGCTTGGGAAGCCATCTTCTCTGCAGCATTGTCTCTTATCAGAAAATGGCTTAATCTAAAAGACATCACGTACCTCAGCTTCATGCTTTACACTGACTCAGGCTGGATCCTGTTACAAGGTGGAGAGTGAGGAGAGTTTCTTTGACTAATAGATTCTTTCTTATTTACTTTGCTCTTCCTGTTCACTTATTTCCTAGGACTGTGGTGGCCTCCTGTCTGAAGGGGACAATCAGGGCTGTTACCCTCTGGACGGGCACATCCTTTGCAAGACATGCAACTCTGCTCGGATCCAGGCTCTGACTGCCAAGGCCAGCACTGATCTCTGAGTATCAGCTGTGACCCTCCCCAGGATGCCCATTGGGGGATATTGCACAAGCTTTGCATGATTGCTTTCCAGCCTAGGGTCTGAATCTCTGTTATTGAAAAAAAGAAAAAAAAAGAAAAAAAAAAGAAATTAAAAAAAAAGTAAAACTGGAAGGCCTTGGAACAAGAGGGCAGTTTGAGAGGCCATGTTCAGACTGCCCATGACAAGCACCTAATTTAGACACAACTGTCCAGGAGGGCAATGAGCGCCTGCTCTGTCTGTAGCTGATGGAGTTAAGGGTCACAGCACCTAAGTTATCTGCCTGTATAAGGAGGTCTGAACATGGTCCTTACCATTCTGTGTTTGATTCCTGTTTCTTAAGAAGTACATGAAGGTAGAGGGTGAAGTATGGCTGAAGTAGTTATTTCTCCCAAGTTATTTTGAGAACCTGAGCAGGTCTCATTGAAGTCATGGGACTTCAATGTCTGCTGATGACTTTAATAGGATCTGTGTCACCAGCAGAAGTAGCTCCACTGTCCTAGAAGGTGTGAGAGCAGACCCAGCATTAACACAAACAGTTCAACTGCAACTGTGCTGCGCCTGAGTGTAGGTGTGATCTTGTATCCTTGGGACATAAATTGCTCATTTCTTAGGCCCTTACTTGTCTCCATTCCCTTCCAGTTCAATAGTGTTTTTCTTTTACTGATGAAAGTCTACTTAGCTATTGCATAAATTTATTCAGTAGTGATGCTTCCAATTCACAATGTATGAGCAATCACAGAAAGATGTGAGCTTGCACACACTGTACACTACACACACACTACACACTACACACACAAAACATGCTTTTGATTTACCAGAGGCATAAGCCAGTCATGTCCCTTGAGAAGATATCTAAGGGATGTGGGTATAGAAACACATTTCTGAAATCCCAGTGGTTAAAAAAAGATAAAAATTACTATATAGAACTGCAGTGCAAAGCGATGCTCAGAAAAATCTTACGCCACTCTCTTCTACAGCCCATTCTAGTGGGGCCACTGGCAGTGTTGGCCTCTGGGTAGACATTCAAGGAATAAAGTCATTTTCCATCTCCTGTTATTGCAGTGGGAGGATTTTCCTTCAACAGTAACGGATTGAATCAGGCTTTGGGATGATACACATTTCTCTGATGTTAACACATGTGATCTGAATTTTTAAATTTAAAAAATAAGGTCTTGGTTTCAGCAACAGCAAAAAAGATCATCCTAAACATGTTCAGTTTTCATCCTAAGAAAGCTAAAGAGAGTATTAAGCCCTTCACTATGCCATTCCAGAAAGCAGGCATTTTTTTTTCCTCTTCCATTTTCATCCCAGCCACTTTTAACTTGCCTCTGTGAAACTCATGGAGGTAGAATGCTGGGCCAGAAGCAGCATTTTAATCTTCAGTCCAGAATTAACATATATCCCAAGGTAAATAAAACCTGGGCACAGATAATCCTTTTTTTTCACATGATCATGGGTTTAGGGTTTCTTTGGGGTTTTTTTTTAGTTTGGGTAATTAAAAACAAATCAAAAAATTAGAAATCCATGGCATTCTGAGCAGCTATAATAGTCTTGTTCATGAAACCCATAATAACTAAGGTACAAATTACATAGTGAAGGAGTAATTTTCATATCACTGAATTGACATTAATATCTTATTTGCAGATGTAATCAAGGAAAATACCTTTCTTTGCGCTTAAATTAAGGAGAACTGAAACAGTTGCAAGCTGATTGACCATATAAGTGACAAAATGTAACTTTTCAAGAGTAAGTTACAAGATTTTTTCATGCATCCCACTGAAGAACAATAAAAATGTGGTACTTTCCTCTTGTATCAAGCTTCTGTTATAGAGAATAATTATATCCACTAATGATGAAAAGAAAAGTTAGATGAACTGAACTGATAGGAAATGAAGGAAAAATTGTGATGTGATACTGCAGCTCCTGCATATGGTGCATTTCTTTTCAGTTTAGCACTAACCTTTCTGGAAGAGCACTGTGATATTCAGTAGCTTCAGCTCTCTGTGGTAAATTCAAATACAGAAATACCAGTCTGAAACCTCCATTCCTTACATGGTTTATATATTGGCAAACTTCACCAGTGTCAGGGAAGTTTCCCAAAATTCACAGCTTGAAATGAATCCTTCTTTGTAGAAGGGTGGCATCATTGAGCAGAAGACTTCCTTCACCACCACAGCGACTGTGCTGAAGCAGTTTGACTTTTTATACTGGATTTCTACCCTGGCCTGTAAGAATGTTACTGCCTCAGACATAAACAGATTTTTTTGGCACCCTGGCTCCCACCAGGTTCCACCTGGGCTCCTGCTCCCTGAACTGTGGCATGTAAGGTCCTTCTGAGCTCGCTTCTTGACATGCAGTGTGCACCACCACCAGTCCAAAAAGCCTTGCAAATACTGAGCAAATCTAGTTTGAGCTAACACTACAAAAACAGGGGAGGTCTGTGCTAGAATACAAGCACGGGTGATAATGTGATGCATTTGGGTGCAGAAGGAGTCTTCATCAGGCAGAAAACGTAGCTCTGATCTTCCTTATTCTTGGGAGTGTTAAATCAAGTGGTTGATGAGACCCTCACAGAGGTAATTGATGGGAACAAGCTGCTGTGCCTTCCAGCAGAATGTGCCCTAGACTAAGGACTCAAGTTCAGAGCCTTTGGGCTCTTTATGGCCCTGCCATGGGCTGGACTGGAGCAAGTCTTATGGCTCCTTGTCTTCTGCCCTCTGCATGAGAGAGCTTCTTTGCAGTTTCCCAGAGACATTATGGGGATTAAACTAGTCACAGACTAGCACAAACTGCTGGTTTCTGGAGCTTTATTTTCTCTTTCCAGAAAAGTTTGCTGGTATGTAGACCTGGGATTCCAGCCCATTTCAATGCATGCGGCCAGCCAGGAGATCCAGCTCTGAATCCTCTCTGTTATGAGAGTGCTGTGGTGAGTTGGGTTGGCATGCAGGGAGGTGAGAGCCAAACTTTTCAAGCATTAAATATTTCATGGATGAAATATGATTGACAAAGATTGAAGTGTTGATGTTTGAGGTGCTGTGGCTGGTTTCTAGACCTGACACATCTGTGCAAAGGTACTATGATGGGAGTTTTTTCACCCCTAGACACCAAAGCCATCTGCCCGTTGGAAGGAGGGAGAGTCCAAAACCCTCTTCTTTATTCTGTGTGGTTTTGTTTTCCAAAATTGCTATAAATGTATTTAAAAGATACAGTATCACAGAGGCTCTCATCACCCACATGTATATGGAAATCTCCCTGCTGATGCTTCAGGATTTAATAAGAAATGCTGGTGGGATTTATCTCAATTGCACTGCAATTAAGAACCACTGGGATATGGCTTCATCACAATATTTATCACATACTTATAATATATCATGTTTATCTGTTCCAAAGAAGGAGTTGTTTTGCCAAAGAGACATTGCTTTTCTCAAACTGGACCTTCTTAGCCATGACAAAAATTCACATCATCTGTGGCTGTGGTAATGTCCAAACTGTTCCATTCAGAAAGAATTGGGAGATCACCCAAACATTTCTGTTCAAGTCTACAGTTTCTGCTTATGCTGCTTTGTCTTTATCTAGTATTTGTTGGCAAGTCGGGCCTGATCCCATGATTTGTGTGGCCAGACAGGGCCCAGGATCAGGTTCTAATTTAGCAAAATATTTAAGTCCCTGAGGTTTGTTTAAGCACAGACTTAAAGCCATTGCATGGTGTGACATAAGCCATTAATACCAGACTGGTTCTGTGTCCCCTGATCGTACAGGTTTGATCTGGGTAAGATGTAGGCACAGTTAAATTTCTATCAAATTGTCCAGAACACAGGAAATGGCTCCTGTGTCACTCTTATGCCAACTGCAGGAGATAACCACAGCTGATCAAATTTACATTTGGATGGCAGGAGGCTGAGTTGTTATGAGTGCTTTGTGTTGGGTGGTTGTGACACCTTCCATATGTCACAAGTAGCCCTACAGCCAGATTTACTGTATCTTTGAGCAATGGCTTTAAAACTCTCCACTTAAACTTTCTCCAGGAGATTGGGTTGCCTTGGTTACAGCCCAATCCTTGAGCACACCCCCAAGGCTAACACTAGTATTTTGTGAATGTGATGGTTTTATTGTACCTTTTTTTACTCATTGAACATTGCTTTTAAAAACAGAAAGCCACACCAATTCTTTAGCCTATCAGATAACACACCTTTAATTTTGGTTTTGGGAGGGGTGTTAATATTTTAATTCTTAGATTTTTATCCTGGCTGCAAAACACTTGGGTAATGACTTAATCACAGAAGTGTGGGAGTACCGAAGTGTTTGTCACTCTACATAATAGTGTTCATCCTGATAGCAGGAGTGAGGCTTTCACAAAACACAGGCCTTAAATTGACTTTCTGCCTGTCAGCAAAATGCGCCTGAGAAGAATGAAAAAAAAAAGCGTCTCTAAAGAAAAGGTGCTTGTTAAAGAGAATATTCCACAAGTCTGTCTGAAATCTCTTTGGACCTGTTACGGCTTCTGCCTGGCTTAGGTTTGATAAATGCTGGTTCCTTTTGATTTTGGGAAAATCTGGAAGGCAAGGGATAACAGGACCCAAGAGAAGGTTCTTGAGAGAAGTCCCATGTCAAGGATAAATGTGAGACGCCTGGTGCTTGCGCTGAGTGGCTCAGGAAGGGTTTGAGTTGCTGCCTGGTATCTGATGGTTCCTGCAGTGGGGTCACAGTGGTGATTTGCTGTGGACAACGCCTCGCACAGATTCAGTGCTCCAAGCTGGAGCTCTTGGAGAGGGGTGCTGACCCATCCCACTGTGGTGAAATCCCCATGGGAAAACACCAGCGATGGTAACTGAGGGTTTGTTGTAGAAGGAGGACAGGAACTGCTCCATAAACCTAGAGGTTAGTAAAATACAGACCAAGAGAGCCATGAGAACACTATTTCCAGTTAGAGCTGGTTGCAATTTTTACACTAATTATGTGATAGCAGAAGGGCCATTTTTTTTAATGAGAAGTTCTCTCTTTTTGCAGTGTTACCCACAACATTTTTGGGGGTTGTTTTTGCTGTTATGATTAAAATTATACTGAATTTTTATCTAAATAAATTTCAGAATTGTTAACAAATATTTTATTTCTCAAAGACCCATGTCTTCTTTCACAGTTGTTTACAGTTCTTCTTGGGTTTCTTCTGCTGGTAAATTAAAGTTTCTGTTACAATTTTGAAAACTTCTTTGGATAAAAATTCTACCTAAAACCAAGCAAATGTTCTTGGGAAATGGTTCAGTACTGGACCTGGTGAAATAAAAAAAGCTTTGAAACTTTTCACAAGATGTTTTTTCCCTATTTTTAACTAGTTTTGCTAATTTTGAAGTCACTGTTTCCTTTGTTAGAGCAATCCAAGTAATGTGACTTAAAATAACAGTGTTACTTCTGTTGAATTCATTATTCTTACCCATCTTAAAGCCATGGAGTGGCTGGCTAGAGGGACTGCCAGTGTCTTTTACTGTGGCAACTGCAATTTTCTTCCCTGTTTTTATCTTGGGGTCTTTTTCTGTTTGGCTTTGCCCCTGAAATTACTGAAGAATATAGGCACATTATGGCAACTGCCATGAAAATCAAGAGATACTGATTGAACTTCATCTCCTTTCTGGGTTTGGAAATGGCATTTTTCCTTAAAAATTTCTAGAACTATTACCTGTCTCCCTCAGCATTTCAAGTTTGAATTTGCAACAGTTGGTTGCCCAACTGGCATTTGAAGCCTGAGAGAGAACAGACTTTACACCTGTGAAATTATAGCATTCCAGCATCTGAAAATCTAAGAGAAGAAATCATAACCTCGGTAGGTTTCCTGCTGGACATTGAGGAACAGCTCTCACTTCAGCCTGGAAATTGTCTGCTGTGGTCTGAAAAAATCGAAGTTCCACCCTTGCAGAGCAATCTGGCATACAAACACACTCACATCAGGTGTTTGTGGGGCTATAACTGAGCAGAAATACAGGCTGCAATATTGGCTGTTGCTACTTATACTGCACTGGGCTTTATTCCTGACTGCGTGTCCCTGGTAATGAAGTCAGGAATGCATTACATGAAGCACATTTTGCTTCATGTAATGTGTGGAAGCCAGAGTTTATCACGGGTAGCAAGAGCATCCAGTTAAAAAGCTTTTTTTTTTTTAATTTTGCGATTCGTCCAGTATTCTCATCCTACCTAGATGTTTTAGAAAACGAGGAAGGAAACAGAAGCCCCAGTGGTGGCATTACTTTTACATTTCCAGGGGTTAGAGTCCCTCCCCAGGAACATCACACTTGGGGTGTCTCTGCTTTTCTGCCTCTGCCTCCCCTTGTCCACAAGCCTCTCTCTTACCCACTTTTTCCATGTCCTCAGTGTGCACTCATCTTTGCAGTAAAGATGGTTTCTTACTTAATTCACCGAAGTATTGTGAGTCTTAGCTAGTAGTTGGAAAAACTTGTTCAGATCTTTAATCAAGTAGTTTTGTGCGTCCTTAGTATCAGTGGCCTGCCATATGGATATCAAACAAAATTGTTATAATTATTGCTTTTAAAATGATTATGAAATTGTGCCTTACTTTTTCAGTCGTATTTAACCGTGTAATTTAGAACCACATGATTGCAGGGATTTACCATGAAGAAATATGTTTGAAGGATAGTTTGTTTTTTAAATATTTTTCTCCTCAAAAATGATTTTATTAGCTTTTCCTCTTTTATTTTTTTTTTCCTCCAGTTATATTCCTTTAATATGTTTGTGTAAAAGGGCAGCCAGAATTTGCATTCGTGAGAGACAGAAAATTTTATTGGTCTTGTATGTAGAGCTTTCATTTTCTTTTATGTTCCTTCAGGAAAATTCCTCTCTCCCCAGTTACTCATACTGAGATGTCTTTAAATGCAGGCTGACCAGTAAGGGTTTTTTGTTGCTGTTTAATTTAGTGTGTGGTTTGCTTTGTGGTTGTGTTTTTTTCTTTTAATTAACCAGATATTGGGTGCTGGGGAGGCATTGCACATTAATGCAAAACGTTAATGCTAATTTTCACAGAAAAGACAAAATTAGAGTCTTTCCCTGTTCAGTGCAGTTTTGTTGCTGCTCTGTGTACAACACTAATATTAAGCCAGACTGTAAAGGCTAAATACTCAGAGTGACCTACTTCCATTCACCAGCAAGAATCCTTTGTCAGCTGACTCCTGTTTGTTTGTTCATTTTTAAATGTCAGATTACAGAATGAGCATCTCCTAAAGATGAAAGAAAACAGTGTTTTCATGTGCAGGAAATTTGGGGTTGCAGTAACAGAACATTTTCTTTGTGAATTTGGATGTCATGGTGTTTTAAGCTCCTGCCTGGAGCCTAAATCAATTTGGCCTCTCATCCAGTTCATCTAACTGGTGCTCCTAAAAGGCTGCAGCCCTGCAAAAGCTCATGCAGCATTTTTGGCTGCCTTCCCTTGCTCCCATTTGGTACATATTTGCACAATTTAACTGAGCTTTTCTTTCTGCTGAAGGTCAGATGCAAGCGATATGAAACACTAAACTTTATAAACAAGCAAAACCATTTCAACCACAGCATTTTGGACTAGAATGGATTTTTAGGTGGCGCACTGTCTGCTGGCCTTTGGAGAGGGGATCCTGAGACTGCATTGGACTGGAACAGGAGGCAAAGCCACAAGCCTTGTTTTTTTTTAATAAACTACTTACTGTAATCCAGCTACACAGTTTCAGCCTCACACTTCAGAAGAAGCTTCCAGTAGCTATGCACGTACAGGCACTTTCTCTCTTGCAGAAAGTGAAACTTTCCCAACCAGAGTAAATTTAACCTATTGCATAAGATGCTGGAAGTTGGTTGTTTTTTTATTTTCCTTGGGAGTCTCACTATAACCTCTGTGTGCAGAGGATGAATAGCTTTTCTTTTTTCCTCTTTTTATTTTTTTTTTATTCTGACAAGATTAGATGTTGCATATTGATGAGCTAGCATTTCAAAGGTCCGTGGGGCTTTGGAACATATTAAGAATCTCTGAAGTTTAATATTCACCATGTTTTAAATATTCAGAAGGAAAAATTTGCATAAAATGGCTTTTGATAAATACATTCTAGGGATTGTTTCTTTCTATCTTACACAAGCATTGTGGGGATTGTGGCTGTGCCAGTTTTGTTCCAAAGTGTCCCTTTTTTCAGAATTTCAGGATTATTTTGGTCCCAGTTGTACGCCCAGGACCATTCCTGAAGTCTGTTATGGTTTCTACTGGGACTGTTCAGCAGGCAGGTGGATGTGACCAAGAAAAAGGTTCAGCTGAGCATTGGAACTGCTGAATATCTGCTTGAGGGTTCCTTGCTGCCTCTACCTGGGCACATCCAGACCTTTTTGTGCCTGCTTCTTGTGATGGGAATGGGATCAGTTCAGTGGTCAGGCCCGGATGAGACTTTTCTGCTCCATACCAGTGGGGTTTTGAGACTGGGAAGGACAATATCCTGGGTGCAGGGGCAAAGCAAAGTGTCATTTGATGCATCTCAGATCTCACAGGGCAGTCTCCTCTTCCTTGGAAGTCTCTGTGGTGAGAATCTCAGTAGTAAAAAAATGTGCCTTTAGGAGAAATCCTCCCCTGGGTATGCTCAATTTCTCATGCACTTGAAAATCTGATGCAAGCTTTAGATGAGGAGGATGAGTTGCTGGCTGCAAAGCTGCAGCTGTTTTGCTGTAGTATCAACACGTGTCCTTACCCTCTGTGTCCCATGGTACATCCCAGGGTGTTGCAGGACAGTGCTTTGGTCCCTCACACCCAGCCTTGACTTTGTCACACCAGTCCCTGTTGAATCAGTGCCTGGTACTTGTTCTCAGGACCGCTCTGGCTCAGGCCAAGGACACCTCATGCCTCTATGCAAAAGGTGGTGCTTTCAGGTTTTACCTTACAAATAATACAGCCCTTTCAAACTCACCTTTCTTCTCTTATGTATTCTTGACAGAAGTAGGATTTTAAATATTTCATAGTATTCTTCTTTCTTCTTCCTTTTTGCCGGATGCCTTGAAAACATTGTCAGATTACGATCTGGGGGGGGATCAGGATCAGTTTCCTTTCCTTCTTGATTGCATGGTGTAGGTTTGCAAGGAGGGTTTTGTCCTTTTTTCTTTTTTCTTTTTTTTTTTTTTTTTTGTTAGTCTTACGGAACAGATGCCTTCATTTGATGCAGAGAAAGATTGTCTATGATCAGAGCTAATCCAGGATGGTAGGATTGGACCCCCACAGTGAAAGCTAGAAAAGTGATTGCAAAAGTATTCTGTTTCTCCTTTATTAATTGCACAGGAAGTTTCCACCAAAGGCTCATGTAGCCCAACTGGCCTATGTAATAAGTAGCAGGGCCTGTAATTACAGTCTGTCTTCTGATGCTATCTGTGCTCCGACTTTCTAGGCACTGCAGTTCTATTTACATCTGGCTCTCTGTCACCTTTCTAAATTTTTGATTGGTCACTAAGGGAAAGAGAGTGCAAGCCATGAGCCCCGAGAGGTGCAGTGAGTATAAACGAGGGAGTCCTCCTCCCTCTCAGGTGTCTGCCTGATTTGGGACACAGAACATGAGGAACAGGAGGATGTACCAGCCATGCAGCAGAGGAAGTGGGCTGCCTGCCAACTGGGTATTTTTCAAGACCTCAGAGTTCTTTATAGGACTGGAAATTTGAATATTTTACAGGTCTTAACTAGCGTACTTTCCTCTGAGATAGTTCATCAGCATTTCTTTGCTCGGAGCTGTTCCTAAAGGATTTGACCTTTTTTCTCTGTAAGACTCAAGGTTTTATGGTTGCAGAGAGATCCTTCCCCATAAGGCATGAGGAGGGAGATGGCTTTTGGCATCAAGCAGAAAGCTGTGTTACAAATCCTGGTATCAATGTGGACAGCAAGAGGAACTTGAGAGAGAGGGGGAAGGCAGTGATTTTCATGTGGCTCAGTACCAGGTTCACCAGCCCTGAGCACCAGCGAGCACAGCCTCAAGCAGGTGAGCTCCCTGGGGTGTCAGTTCTGAGACCTGCAAGAGAACAATGGGCTCCTCATGGGAGTGTTTGGTGCTGGTCACTTTCCAGGAATCTCTTGTCTCTTTGGAAATCCGCACTAAACTTTGGGTAAAGCTTCAGAATGGTGCCCCCCAGACTTTTTCTTTAGGGCAGACTTCCAGTGCTATGTTTGATGAAGAGGAATGAAAGGCATTAGGCAAATACTGCACTCTGCAATAAAACCCATTAACAATCTACTATGGATACTTTTAATGTCCATTAAACTGTTACACAAATTGTCCCTTTTCTACAGCCTGTACTGTTATTTCATTATTTTTAACCTGACTTCTGTTTAAAAAATACCCATCCATTTTTTTTTTTTTTTTGTAACTCTGCTTCTAAGAAAGTTGATGCTTTAAAAGGGAAAAAAAACACCCTTAGTTTCAAACATGGGTTTTTCAGGCTTCTAAATTAATAATTTCTACACCTGACCCAGTTCCTGCAGCTGCCAAAAAAGAAAAGAGAAAGCTATTTAAATTTCTCATAGAACCATTTATCTCTTAAAATATGCCAAGGCAATTTGAGGTGGGGGTGGAGACTCAGCTATTTATCTCAGCAGCTTGATTTTTCTCTTTATGTTTCTAACTGTCAGGGGGAAAAAACCGGTAGGAAGCTATTCTTGGGCTATTATTGATGTATTGTGTTGCCATTATGCAGGATGTCTGCTTTGCTATATACGGAAGGACATTAATAATAGCCATCTCCCCTGCCCCCACCCTCGGTTCCTCTTTGGGAAGATATGGTTTAACTGGAGCATCTGCTGTGTTCAAATTGCTGCTCCTTCCTCCCCTTCCCCCAGATCATTCCCAAACTACTTTAAGGAACCAGGGCTAAGAAAATAAGGAGACATTATTTTTGCCATTTTTCTGCCTACTTCTGTGGTGGCTCCAGACAAATAATTTCCATGCCCTGTACCTGTCTACCCTTTTCCTTCCCAGGTACTGCCCCTGCTTTCATTTTAAGTTCATCAATGCAAAGAAAAAAACTCTTTCTTGCTGTCTTTTTCTCACAAAGGCTTGCTGGCAGAACAGGCTCAGCAACAGACCTCTGATTTGTTATTACCCAGCATTTCATATCCACAAACATCAGCTTCATTATTTCCAATTAGCAGGAAAATGTATTCCCATTCCCATCCCTCCTACCCCTGGTTTAAAACATTGTTATGAGACTTTAAAGGGTCCGTCTACTCGTTTAAAGACTTGGATGCTTGTTTTATTTTTGGAAGCAGAGTGTACAGTGAACAGGAATAGTTTGATGTTTAAAAAATAGCCCCAGTTCAGCATTCCCCTGAAGTGCGGGAAGTCCTGTCTCCGCAGGGCTGTGCCAGCAGCGTGACAGCCCAGAGAGCAAAGCCAGCTTGAAAAGGAAAAAGAACTGGCCTGCCCCACTTCATCTGTGAGAAGAGAGAGGTGAAAATAATAAATGTGGCAAGAAAATAAAGGGTAGAATTGCTCTGATTTTTTTATTTGGATGGCTGTTCCTATGTCTCCCACTGATTTTGTTCCATAGTAGCTTTGCTTATTCAGCATTTTTGGTAATCAGGACCATGTGCTTTTTCAAGGTATCATTATTTTTACTTTTCATTTGTTGAGTTGTAGTCTTGCCCTTGTCCCCATAGGGTATGGAACCATTTTGGCTTGGGCATGGAATGAAAATAGTTAGGAACTCTGTCTAAGACTGCTTACCTAGAATTTGGAACCAGCATATGCAGTAAGAATATTTTCCAGTCTGATATAAAGAAGTTTTCAAAATAGGAATTCTACATGGGAGGAATCCCTTCACTGGGGGAAATGCTTAGATTTCAAAATTAAAGGGAGATGGCCATTCAGTATAATTTCTCATTGCTTTTCTAATCTTCTCTGGTGTTATACAAGCAGAAAAATGACACCCTCTGTTCCCTAAACTAAGCCAGAGCCCAGCATCTCCTCTGCACACATTTGCTCCAGCTCCAGCTTTCCACACTGCTGCAACATGGGAGTGAGGAAGGCCTGCTAAGGGAGCAAGGTCAGCCTCATCCTCTCCACAGCCAGCACTGCTCCCCATGGTGAGTCTGCGTCCAGCCTAGGGCTTGATCTGCTTCCTAATGTGAGTGTTTTGCCAGAATCAGCTGTTTTCTCTCTGCCATTAGCTATGGGATTGTGTGCAATGATGAGGATTTGCAGGGAGGGAGGAGAAGATCCTGTTCCAATTAGGCTGCCTTTGTGCTAATGTTTCATTCAGGGCTGCATGAGATAAGAGCAGTTTGCACTGAAATGCACAGCCGGAGGTTGTAGTTTGAGTTTCAACTGTGTTGAGATGGTACCCATTGAAAATCCAAACTGGAGCTCTTTTTTGCATCTGCCAGTACTTTACTGACAGCTCTGTGTGGGCTGGAAACCCGTTTCAGGTTTGCAAATGGACATTTTGTGCCTTGTCCCCCAAGTCTGATCTAGTTCTTTGGTTTATCCACCTAAAAAGGAGTATTTCTAATGTGCCTAATTAGCTAAGCTCCTGACAAGCATCTCAACAGAACAACCAGCAAGGTGACAAGTAGGCTATGGACAGAGCTGCCTTTACAAAAAGTGCACTTCACTTTCTTCACTGTGTGCCTTTTCAGAGACCTACTGTGCTCTTCTATGGGCAGCAGAGAAACAGCCCCAGTGCTGAGCAGGGATGGGAACTTGGAAGGTGATGGAGAAGACAAGCAAGAGGATAATGCTGATCATCTGTTCTCCATGGGGATAAGCAAAGCAATGGCTTATCCCATCAGTGCAGCTTGTCTTGCTTTACACACCCTGTTGTCTAGTGGGCAGCTGTTCTGTAGCAGAGGTACTTGGGTAAATCTCCTCAAAGATCTCTTCCTGATCAAAACTCCAGTCATTAATATCTGAAGAATTTATTCCCTTAATAATGTCTCTTATAAAATCTCCATCACTCATTTTTTATATAATGTTAGAAGAGAAAATCTGAAGGTGAACCAAAGTTTGATTTGTGCTACTGTATTAAAAAGGCTGATATGCTCTCATTTTCAATCCTCAAAATAATATTTTAGCAAAATTTTTCCTGCTGTGATCAGACAGGAAATGCAAGGTGTATTGGAAATGCAGTAAAGGGAAAGATTCGATGTTTTGGTGCTCTGAACTGCATCACTGTGACTTCCTCTACTGTCTCTTTGGAAAGTGAGAACTGAGTATTGGTAGAGGTGTGGGCAGAGCCAAGTAATGCCTGGACTTTCTCTCATGGTCTTGCTAGAAGGAATCTGCCTTGATGGCACATCAACTTCCTTAATGGTCCTATACTTTTCCATGGCACAGCTTGTGTTTTGGACAGTCAGAGAGCCTGGAGAGAAGCCTCCAGTGCCTTCCCTCTAGTTAGTCAAATGAGAGACCCCGAGTACTAATTCTGTATTTATTGAAGTCACTTTCCAGAAGAGAACAAACAGCAGAGGTTTGTTGTGCTTCAGAGCCCAATCTCTCATGCTGGCTTTACATGTGGGCTGATACAAGGAGGTCTGAACCACACGTAGGTCGTTCCAGAAGGATTCCTCTTGGCTACAGGCCCCATGGAGACCCCCCTAAAGGCTGGGAGAATGATTCAGGTCTTTCAGACTGCAAGGAGGAAGTGTCCCTAGGAATGTATTTGTCCTATGTGGCTGCTATGCTTTGGCCTATCCCTGTCAGCTGCAGACCTGTGTGCTCTGAGGGCTCACCAGGGATGATCTGTACTGGATGTGCAGTAATTCACAGCAGTTTGAGGTGGCGTTTCAGCTTCATGGTGGTTGTTGGCTTAGCCCATGAGATGGAGAAGGTTCTGTGTTGTTGCCTTTGTTGCATTTGGGAGGAGGCATGACTGGCCACTCTCCTCCTTGTCGTGTCAGCAGACAGAGGCTCCCAGTGGTGTGGGAATAATCTTCCTTTTAAATGTGAATCACTAGCCTAGGGATCTGGGCAAGGGGAGGCACAAGGAAGCACGTCCTGTATGAGGAATGCTTCTGCTGCACACTCTGTGCCCTCGGATCCTAATGAAGTAACATTACTTGAGCTTTTAGGATTGGTCTCTGTCTGTCAGAGCTTGGGGGTACCAGAGTTTTACTCCTTGCTGAGCAAAAGCACTACCCAAGTCTGTGGGGGGCCTAACCCTGCTGGCATTGGAATTTTCCCAGTTCCTGTGACTTGCTGAGTGCACCTCCTGTGAGCTGCTGAGTAGCCTCCCTTGTCACTGAACCCATCAGGCCACTTGTCTCCCTCACTGACTACTTCCACAGGGCTTTGAGGGCACTCAGGAAATGCAATCAGCACCTTACAGGATCGATCTGCTAAGCAATAAATGAAGTTTTTTCTCTGGTAACTTGTGTGCATGAATAGAAAATCATTTATTCCAATTTGTTCTGAGGACAGATGCAGCATATACACATTTTCTATATTTATAAATATATATAAATATATATATATTGTTCTCAGCTAGTTACCTCTTCTAAACTGCAATTTTCAGAGCAACCGGCATATATTTTTTATTCAACACGTAAAATTACTTTTTACAGTAAGAGAATGAAAGCTGTTTTAAGCATGTGTTTTCTGTATTTTTATTATGCATTATCCAATTATATTGAGATGTATTTTCCTCTTTGCTCTGCTCTTCCAGTTGTTATCCTTTTTATCAGTTATGCTTTTCAAATGTTTTGTAAGGGAAAATAAATATGCAAAATCGCCAGATGCCTTTTTTCTTTGCAGAAGAAGTATCACAAATGCTTTTTTATTACATTTTACCAATCCAATAAACTTCTTATAAATTTCATTTTTGTTTGCTAGCGTGTGAAATTATTTTTTCAAGTTGAATGCTATTTACTTTCTCCCAGCCTCTACCTGCAATTATGCTTCATATCCTTCACCTTTTTCTCTTTTAGGTTCAAAATTCCATTGTGTGGCTCCTGAGCATACCTAATTCAAGACTCTGTTTTATTCTTGGGTGAAGTAAGGATGCAGAAGTGTCCCAAGAGAGGCTCATCTGTCATACTGACCATCTCTTGATGAATTTTCCTAAAAATGTGTGCCTTTGCAGTAGAGAGCACTCCATTCCTAACCTATGCAGTAATCTGCAGAGCTGGGTTGTATGGGAAGGTGTCCACAAATGTTCTCAAATTCGTGTTGTGATGGGTGACAGCAGGGTCAGACACCTTGCTCTGCAGCTGAATGCAGGAACAGTATTCAAACTGTTATGGGGAGAGTAGAAATAAGTGTGGTTAGCAAAGCCTGTCTCTTCTAGAAACTTGTTTCTAGGCTATCATTGCAGTATAACCAGGATTGTTCCCATCTGCTTAAGAAATATCATTGGTCCCCACACAGGCTGCCCACAGCCTCTCCAGCCAGAGAACCTGGTGCAGCACTGAACACTGTCCCTGACAGAAATACTTCATGTGGGGGGGAGTCCAGTGTATCCCAGTAGGCTTTTCCACAGATACATGCAAAATATCTGCACCCTGCTTATAGCCTTTGTTTTTCTCCCTTTCTATCCTTGGAACTTTTTATAAAAGCCCTTTTCTCTCAGAAATCTCCTGCACAGTGCTGCACAGATCATCTTCAAGATGGGATTAATTTCCCTGAACTTTAGCAGTCTGGAAGACAGCAATGTGTGTCTAAGGTGGCCCTCCTGTCAGTGGAGAAACTGCATCTTAGGTAAGCATCTGTGACAGGTTTGTTTTGTGCCTTTAAGGGTTAAATGAGATTAACCTATTAACAGAAGTGGTTATCTTAAAAGAATTTTTGAGAGTTGTAGAACGATCCCAGGCCACACAACACAGCTAAATCCATTCCCTCCATGTCATTCCCAAGAAAACCTTATCTAGTATGACCTTGAAGACATCTGCATATGGAGATCCCATAACCTCCCCTGGCAGTCCTCTCTATGGCAGTGTTGTCTTCACCCTCAAACAGTCTCTGCTACTGTCCAGACCAAATATTCTTGGCTGTAAATTAAATCCTATCCTTATTTTTCCACCAGCAGGAAAAAATGCAGTACTTCTTTAGTAGGTTATGCATTGCCAGGGGATGCTTTGTTAGCCATGGAAGGAGGTGCAGGCAGGGCCTCCCTCCCAGCTCCTCCCCTTCCCCAGGGGACTTTAGGAAAGGCCTGTGTTCTCCCTCAGGAAAGGACAAACTGCGGCTTGTTCCTACAGGACATGGGAGTCTGACAGGCTTTGTCTTGGCAGTAAAGGGAGTGTGATGGTGTGGGCTTTCAAGTCTATTCAAACTGCTATATAGTTTTCCAAACTCGATATTATTACTTCCTTTATAGCACAAGGTACTTTTTCCTAAACTTGTTACGATGGAAAAGTTCCAGGGATACGTTGTCCACACACAAATCAAAATGCATTAGCAGGCCAGGGGCCAGAGGCGAGGGCCAAGGGTGGGGGAGCTATTAATCCCGTAGTTTGGCACTGCTATTTTGCAGTCAAAGGCTACCAGAATCCTTTGAAGACAATGAAAGCTTTGGGAGTGAAGTGTATCTAAAATCCAAGTGCCAGTGGGGGCTGTCCTGGGGTTCAGGGAGGGATGGAGGCAGAGGAGACTGTTTGGCACTGTTGGTGACATCCCTGGTCACAAGAAAAGCAGTCATAACCCTGTGTTCTCCTGGTGCAATGGCTGTCTCCAGCTGTGGCTACTGGAGATTTAACCACCTGGCTTTGAAGAAAGGTGGGTCTGGGATGTTTATCCTGATGTTTATCTAGGCTAACCTCCTGTATGACTTCTGTGTCAAAAAGGGAGATTTATTCTGCTTTCTAGTCAATTTTGAGATGATTTAAAGGGCTTCCTGAGCTTCCTCAGGGGTTTTCAAAGTGGAAGAGAAACCTGGAAGGCTGATAAATTGTCTCCAGTGCTGGTCTTAGCAGGCAGTATTGGTGTTCTGGGGAGGGTTTGGAATAATATTTTGGAAGGGAAGAGCCCAATGCAAGAGGGCAGCAAGGCTCCCTCTGTGAGAGATGGACACTTCCAAAGGGCCATTCCTCCAACAAAGCTTTGGCAGGTTCTTCATGGCAGGGTGAACTGCTTTCTGGAGAGGTCTCTCTCATACCATTAACTGTCAAGGGACTCTGAAAGATCAGACCAGACCTCTTCCATTCAGACAACTGAAATGGAGAGGAAGAATGGACAAGTGAGTGAGCCCTTTCACTGCTCAATTCCCCCCGAAATGGCAAGTGGCTGCACCACACAGCACCACCACGGCTGCAAAAACGTGCGGGGAAAAGGGGGAAGAGGAGTTTGGGTGGGGCTGTCAGGAGAATTGATGCTGCTGTCAGTGTCACATGTCACAACCTGCCAGGGTCCTGCAAAACAAAGTGACACCAGTGACTCCAGTGACACCAAGGAGTTCCTCTCCCCAGGGAGCTCCTGTGAGGATTCTGGGAGCTCTTTGCCTCTGGTCTGCCCAACCAGGCACTCCAGGTAACGGTGAGTCAAAGGAGGTGCAGCCTACTCTTTTGCTGCTGAGAGTTTTTGGAGACAATGTTTTATGCATACTGAATGCATAGAAAATACACAAGGTCAGCCCTGGAGCAGAGCAGAGACACAGCGACTGCTTTCCAAGTGCTAACCACCTCCAGTGCGGTGTCACCAGGAGTTACACATGACACTGTTTTCCATGAGGTAAGGAAAAATAAATAAACCCAAATCATTGCATAGCAGAATGGTCTGCTTTTTTATCTTGCCATATTGTTGGTGTTGGACTGAATCTGCTGTCTTAAAGTATAAATATAAAGACGCTGCTAAATCATCACTATTTCAGCAACTAATTAAGGGGTAATGCTCGTGGTGCAGCCGTATACGAGGCAATAAAAGGCTTTGGCGGCTGATTAAACGCTGGCACTGAGGCATTTAATTACAGCAAAAGCCAATTACCATGTGCACATTCCGACACCATGGACATTACTCCTGTTCTGTGATGGAACAAGGAAAGGCAATAAACCATGCTATGGAGTCATATAGCACAGGACCTTCTAGCTTTGCCAAAACTGCTATCCTTCCTCTCCAGTGGCTCTGGGATGAGGACTTTGTCTTCATATGGAAGGCTCAAAACAAGGTCCCAGAGTAAAAATGCTTTTTAATTTACAGGACTCATTTGAGATCTAGAAACAGAGCCAAATATTGCACATCTTCCCTGCACTAAGGCATGTTTGACCATTTGTAGAGCCTTATATTCCCACACTCAGGTGGATAACAGGTGCATTTAAAGCCCCACCTGAGCATATTTACCATGGGCAAGTCAGTGACACTGAAGGAAGAGGTTACGTGTAGCCTTTTCTTCCTTCAGTTAAGGCATTGCAGAAAGAATATAATCAGTTGCAAAACTCCACATGCCATTCTTCAGTTAATTGATTTAAAAGCTGGAGTCTGATTTTCACAGGCTTTCAGCTCTTGCACCATCCATTTGACTTAACCAGCTCAGCACCTCTTCAAATTAAGCCCTCGCTGTCTTTAACCAGTAGTGAATTATTCCTTTTAAAGGAGTTTCCTAGAGAAATTCTCTCTTAGAAAATCCTTGGCACGAAACCTTAGCCAGCCTTGGCATACAAACCTGCCTCACGCTGGCATTAACAAGCCTCTTATTTAAATGTTGATGAGCTCTTTGCTGCCAGTTAGCAACGGGAAATGCAGTCTGTGTGTTAAATGAGAGCTGGGAATGATTTCCAAATACCAAAATGTTTGTTAAACTCGCAGCCCACCTCTTCCCTCCTTGGGAGTGGGAAGCTTCCCAGCAAATTGGCCCCATTTTGCACAGAAACTGCCAGGGAGGATCAGACCACGCATCCCTCTGGTTCTGTGGCCCACGTGGGAGCAGCGCCAGGAGCACAGATTCCCAGGGCACCCTGTGTACCCCCGGTGTGCCCGTCTGCCCCAGGGGACCCTTCCTTGACCCCGTTAATTAGATATATTCTCAGGCATTGAAGACAGGCTCCCCCTGCCATGGTGCTCATTTGGGGTTAAGTGATTGCTTTTAACCTCTCTCAATACACAGGGGGCTGGTGGCTGTTCCTGTACTGAGAGTTGAAGAATTGCCCTGCAAAACCTTTCTGGACCCCTTTGGTTCTCTGCAGGGCTTTGTAGAAATGCATTCCACAAGCTGCTTGTGATATTATGTTTATCAATGTATCATTTCAGCTAGATAGACACCCCCTAAAATGCAGCCAGAGACTGCAAGAGCAAGTTCTGTTTTCCTGCCATCCCATGGAGACCAAATACCTTGTTGCCTCTAAATGAGAAATATAATTTGTGATAGGGGCTCTTCTGCCCTTTCTGGGATTCTTCCTTTCATGGCGAGTCAAAGGATGAGATTCAAATACTAAATGCCAGGCAAGGGAGTCTCCCTGTATCCTTGTGTTACCTTTGCTGCCCTCTGAAATCAACATGTTCCGCAGCCAAGGAACGTGTAAATTCTTTTGGCTACCACTCACTTTTGGATGAATCCCAACTGTGCATATATACAATGGTCGGTTTCCTCGGTGTTTGAATGAACCAGAAAGGCTTTGTCTGCTATAGATGGGTGCTTTCAATCCCATTTATGGTACATTATATCAGCCTGAAATAGCATCTGTGAGGTCCTTCAGCTGAACCACCATCAGATTTACAGCCACCGCAGAGGAGTTAGCAGGCTGGCTCCAGAGAGCTAGGAGCAATAACCATACTCTCCTGAAATATTTGCTTTCTCTTCAAAGCT